AAACAGTCGTGCTGCACAATATTTTTGTGGAAACCGTGACACATGGCCATTCAAAGGTTTGGGGTACTATAAGTAAGATGAAAAAAAGAAGTGAATACTTTTCAGTTTTTGCTGTGGCATCGAGGAAGAACTTCTTATATTTTCTTGCAGATCTTAAAAATGATCCGATCCATGGCTCAAAAACTGTAATATGATCCGAACCTAGGGCTGGGTATATCGAGCACAAATATCTGCCAGTGGGGTAAGAGAAGTAATCTTAATTCAAAGGCTAAACAAGATTATTTTTCTTGCCCCACTGGCAGATATTTTTGCTCATTTTAAGCAAAAACTAAAATGTTGATCTTTTTTTTTTTAACAAGACAATATCTGAAGTCATTTCACCTGTCAAGTAAATGCATCTTGATTCAAGAATGTTTAGATATTTGTAGAAAACAAGACAAAAATACTAAGAAGATAATTTTGTGCGTGTGCCAGTGGAAACGCACCGTGAGATCTGTGATCCGTTGAACCACTGATTATTATCAAGTGTACCTTGAACTCCAGCTCTATGCCGGTCACGTGTTCTCCGGCCTCCACCTGCGACAGGTTCTGTATGTAGGAGCACAGGCTGCGCGCCGCCACCTCTGTGTTCCCGCAGGCCACGGCCTCCAGCAGCGCCTCGTGGATGAAGCCGTACTGATCCTCCGTCTGCACCATGTAGTTCCTCTGCGAGCGCATCAGGGTCACGTGACCGTACACGTCCACCGTCCGCTCGTGACGGATGCGCTCCAGCATGGCGTCGATCACGATGAAGCAGCCGGTGCGGCCCACGCCAGCGCTGAGACACACACATCAAACACCACGCTTTTACTACGGTATAATTTCCCTGATCCGTTTCTGCTCACTGATATCAAGACAGACTCATTCAGCTGACAGATGTGGACACAACAAAGCACTGTGGGATTACACGGTTTAATAACTATAATCCAGATTACAGATGAACATCCGTGAGGAAACGCTGCTGCCGCTTGTGTGATCTGCTGAAGATACTACACTACTATGAAAGAGTGTGTGTGTGTGTGTTCATGCATCAGTAATAGGATCACACACACACACACACACACCCACACTCTCTCACTCACA